CTAAGAAAAAAAAAGTGGTAACGAAGACATAAAATTCATTTTCTTTCATGATGATCACAAAAGCAGCTCAAATATCAGTTGGACAAGCCTGATGCTGTCCTCTTTTATGATGCAGAATATCCCTTGCCAATTTTCTATGGCACATCTTCCTAGCTGCAAATTAAAGTTAGTCCTTCAAAATTTGAATGGAGAATCCTGGACAGTGAATTCGGTTCCTGCTACAAGAGTGCATACAAGTCATACTCTCTGTGGAGGATGGATGGCCTTTGTGCGTGGGAATGGCATCAACATGGGAGATGTATGTGTTTTTGAACTTGTCCGAGATTGTGAATTGCGTGTTCACATCTTTAGAGTTGGAAAGGAAATATCTGAGGATCAAACTGGAAAAGGAGCTTTGAGTAGGCTAGGTGCTGGTCATGCAGTAATTCCCCGTAAAGCTCTGAAAAGTTTGCCAAAGAAAATGAATGGAAACTCCCAAAAGGTTCATTCAAAACGCTCCAAAAGGATTGAAATATCTGATAAAAAAAGTTCAAAGTCTTGGCAAGATTCCTTCTGCAATGATGCTAGGAAACATTCTAGTGCAAAAAAGGTCTCCACTAAAGTCATGGTTTGTTCTCAATCAAATAAGGCTTCTAAAGTTTTGGGTAAGGTTTCCCTACATCAGCATGTTAATTGCATTTTAGAATTATTTGAAAAGATTTTATCGATGCGCTCCTTTTATGTCTTTGTATATCACTCACGATGCCAACGATCTGTTGTTTTAAAAACGGAGTTGATTACTTTTACTTTTCTATTTGTGTATGTATTTTGATTGTAGTGTATTAGGGTATCCATTATGTCTTCATAATTTTATTGAAGCTAAACCGGTCTTAATTGGTTATATTATGCAAGAATGTGAAGAACTTGGTTTCATGGCTTTTGAAATTTTAATGGCTAGTCAATCAAAGAACGAGTGTCAAAGGCGATCTAGTATTACCAGCTAGACATGGTTTGCGAGCAATGTTAGCACTTGATGAAGAAAGGGCAGCTAAATCATTTGTTTCTTGTTTTCCAACTTTTGTCAGAATCATGAAAAAGTTCAACATAAGTGGTTCATATACTTTGGTAAGTCTTATTTTAGATCCAAATATTCTTTGAAAATTCCCTTTGCTTAAATTTTGTAGGACTAATTGGCATTCTATGTTGCAGAAAATTCCACATCGGTTTTCTTCAGCACATTTCCCTAACAGCAAAACGGAGATTTTACTTCGTGGTCCAAATGGGGGATGTTGGATTGTGAACTCAGTACCAGACTCCATGGGGCGAATGATGCATACTTTTTGTGGTGGTTGGATGTCGTTTGTTCGTGACAACGGTATCCAGATAGGGGATATCTGCATTTTCGAACTTGTCCACAAGTGTGAACTGCTTGTACATGTGACCGGAGTCGGGAAGAAAGGGTTTGACCTCAGTAGTGAAGTCGCAACTTGTGAATTAGCCATTGTACCAACGACAAGCAATCATCCTTCTATGTAAGGTTGGTACTCTTGCTCATTTCTTCTCAATGAAAAAATTATTTGGCCATATTAGAAATTGCTAGATTTGCTCTTGCTATTATATTAGGTCATCGGTCATCTTTTTTCCCCCTAAATTCTCATTGTGGCTGAGGGCTCCGGATAATAGCCCCACTCAGACCGAGCGTTTGTAAACTCTAATGTTTTGCAGAATTATAGGCCCCAAGGCTGGGCTGTCGTTGAATCAATGGCAATGCATTACTGGTTCAGGATTTCCCCCAACTCGTACGTAGTTGCTTTATTTTCTGAATACGTTCTCTTATTCTGCCAACTTTTTGTTCTAATAATCATCCAATGCAAATGCAGATTAAAAATGGTATCTTTACGTATTAATTTTTCTCATCCAAAATTTGTAGAAGAAAAGTAAATAGTGATGATGTAACAGACTTGAAATTTACAAAATTGTTAATTACCTTGTTTTGGGATCTTACTTCCGTGACAGATTTGGTATTTTATTTTTAAAAAATTTGTTGGTTTTTCATTGCCCATCATTTATATTTTATACACATCTTTTTATATACCCTTATCTTCACTATTTTTTTTGTTTTATTTAATTAATTTGTTAAACAAACCCTCCATGGGTTTTTTTTATTATTATTATTACTTTTGAAAAATATCCTCAAGTTAAATTTTTAACGAATGGCAAACCATTTTGCATATTCTTTAACTACTGGAACTCAGTTTCAAACGGACGGATTTAAAAAACTCGGAGCTCCAGATGATTATCTCCTCAATTGCATGAATGTTACTCGGTAGTGGAAAGCAAGCTATAAAATGAGAGCAAAGAAACATTCAAGCAGAAAACACTTGAAATATTATACTATTCCTGTTTTTTTAAAAAAATTAGAAATGAATTTAAAATTTTCAAAACATTTAAGATGAAAGTGAGTAAATGTTTTACAAACAATTCAAGGATTAGATTAAATTTTCTCCACAAAGAGAACTACGAAAGGTTAAATTGAAGTATGGACAGGCTTGAAGCAACCTCCTTTTTCCTCGGTAACATCATCCCCGTGAAAGAATTTAAAACGAACAGAAAAAGAAAGAAAGAAAAAACTAACAAAGCATACTTCTCCTTTCATTCAAAATCTAAAACCACAAGAATAAAAAAATAAAAAATGAAAAAAAAATAAATTGGCAAAAAAGAGTAAACGAGATATACTGTCTCACCAAGCAACCTTTACTTTTACTTCCATTCAAAATCTCAAAAGAAGGAAAAAATAATAAAAAATAAAAATAAAAAGGGTCTCGGTAACTATCTTCTCCCTGAGATTACGCACTACAAATGTTGCTACCTTAAAAGTTTGAAACTAAACGGCACATATTTGGTTCTGCAAATGACACCAAATTAGGCTAAAAAACCGCTCAAAACAGAAAGTTAGGACTTGGGAGGTAGAAGTAGAGATGACTTACGGCGGTCCTCGAAAAATTGTCGTACCGTACCCTTAAACGGAGGGTCTCTGACAAACAGAAAAAAGCTGCCAACTAATAAGAGCCATCACCAGAGAGGTGAAGAGTTCAAATCCCACCACCTTTGGGAAATGCCAACCCAGTCCTCGCCTTAAGTAGCTGGACAAACAAACAATGAGCAATGGCTATGTAAACTTGGGATTGAGTAAGCAGAAGCCTCATCTAGATAGGTAAGTTTTTAATCAACTGGAATAGCTTTAGTTGAAATGAATTTTAATGCTCAGATAGTTAAAAGCCGGGAAACAAGTTAAGTGACGAATTCTCTAATTTTGAGGTTGCATACCTTGTGATGGATGGCATGGTAGCCACAATCAATGCACATAAGTAAATTATGGGAATTAGAGTCTTGGGCTTGTTCTTCCTAAGCCACATCAAAGATCCCAATGCAGCAAGGGATATACTCAACACCTGAATCAAAATGGGGGACAGAAATTAGAGAAGCGACAGCCCGGTTGAGAGATAATTCATTTGTAATGTAAGATGATAAAGACCCAAAAATTATCTTTTAAATAAAATATGGCTCGTATCGATTGTTAAATGCATGCCTCCTCACAACATCCAAACAAAGAATATTAAAAAGTGAAGGAGAAGAAAGATGGAATGGAAACCAGATTTGCATTGGCTTCAAGGCTCTGAAGAATGTAATCCCAAGTAAACTCTAGTCCTCTGGCCCCGACCCAAAGTGGAGCCAATCTATGCAAAACAGAATCAGCAAATGCCCAACCTGCCGATAAAGAAGAATAGAGTAACAAGAAGGCCATCCGATGATTAAATATTGAAAACTGGAATTAAACAAGTAGAAACCGTGGATGCAATGCAGATTTACAGTCAAGACTAAAAGGACCTAAATTAATCTACTCAATTAAACTCACCGAGTCCAACTGCTTGAAATTTATGGTTCTGAGAAATGTTCCGATAAGTCAACTGGGTCAAAGCAAAGTAAAGTCCGGCAACATCTATGAAACCAATAAGGGCTTTCAACAGTTCCTGAGGTAACAGAATTACACCTTGTTAACACAATCCCTAAAATTACAGGCACGTTAGGAGACTTTCTAATGAATTTTCTTACAAATAGAGAGGCTTCAGTTGAAAGCACGGTTAGCACATTTGACATGTTTGATATGAGAATCGAATAAAATAACCATACCATTTAACACTGGTGTCCCCACTTCACTGAAATAGAGGAAGGAAGGAAAACAAGGCTAGTTCATGAAATAGAGCCTCCCAACTACTTTTCATATAATCCTTTTTCGGTTAGACAATAAGAACAGTTCTGTAATCCTATTCTAATTTAAGTTGTCCAATTCTGTATCCCTACTATAAGGCACTACTCTTTTAATTCCAAACCATTTAATGGTCTTTTTATGTTCTCTTCGAATGAAAATTCGAGGTTCAAATAATTTTATGATCATACATCATTTAAAAACATAACTGTAACTGTAACTGTAAGATAATAGGCAATATAATTGATGGAATCAAAATGTACATAAAAATATATTTATTTTTCACCACGCAAAAATGAAAAGATTGTCAATACCTGATATGGGTCAAAGGAATCATTCTCTGACACGTTAAGAAAGGTTGCAAGGCATACAAGCTGAAGGGCAGAGAAAGAAACCAGTTAGATTCACAGAGAAGTATCTTAAAAATAACAATAATATACCAAAAAAATAAGGAGAGAAATTCAAGGTCCCAATGCACTTCGGAGTGTTCAGCAAACACAAACCTTCACTAAAGCAGTTCCAAGATAAACCAGTGCCGCTTTGACTGACGTTCCAAGTGTATCATACTCAGATCTGCATAGCTAGAGTTTTAGTGAAAAATGAAATTGTGACTCAAATAAATATAAAATTATGACAGAACCAGACACTGGCATAGCATTCATCATTCTGTGAGCAAGAAAATATGCAATTGCCACTGATGAATACGGTAGGCTTCATTGAATTAGCACGAAAATAACACGAGTAAAAATGAAAATATTAGACTCCTAAGGTATAACTATTGTAGGTACATCACAAAGATGACAATGCTCTTTGATATTGATTCTTGCACCTTATCAAAGTACTTATCTGTTAAAAAACTGAATATGGAGACGAGACAAGTATGATGATCTTCATGATTTACATTTACTATAGGAAGCCGGGTTGGACTTACAATCCATCTATGCAAATGAACTTTATCCATAAATTTCCTCTTGCTAATTTACCAGTAATCATGGCAGGAACATATCCCTTCACTAAAACAATGGAACCTATTATTATCACGAACGACAATCACTCTCTCCTCCAACTTTGAGACCATCTTAATAGCTGTATGGCAATCCAAACATATCCTCAAATTCTTTACCACTCTAATTGGTGTTCCCACTTCACTGACAAGGAGAGCAAAACAAATGGCCAACTTCTCACTGTGAGTTCCCACCATTTCTTCCTTCTCTTCCTCCTCAACATCTCGCAGTGCACAACTTTTGTCAGCTACAAAGCCAACCCTCTTCATCTTCCTTTCAAGTTCAGCCAATAATCTATAAATATCTCTTGACCACTCATGTGATCTATCACCCACAATGAACTTATGCACTTGACCCTTATATTCCACCCAACTCATTCCAACTGATTTCTTCACACCTACCTTCTTCATCTTCTCTCTAACCATTTTAACATCTTCCCATCTTCCAGCTGAGGCATATATATTGGAAAGTAAAACATAATTTCCTGGGTTTTGAGGTTCAAGCTCAAAGAGCTTGTTAGCAGCAAGTTCTCCCAACTCAACTCTCTTGTGAATTCGACTGGCATTTAACAAGGAGCCATAAACACCAGCATGAGGTTTCATCGGCATAGATTGAATCAATATTTTGGCTTCATCTAATTCACCTGCCCTTCCTAATAAATCAACCATACAAGCATAGTGATCCACCGTAGGTGCTTTAATTGACTTAAAGATGTTTTTACCTTCTTTAAGCAGCCCTGCATGGCTACATGCTGTCAGAACACCAATATATGTGACGTGGTCTGGTTCAATGCCTTCTTCCTCCATTTTTAATACTAACTCGATAGCTTCCTTCCCACGACCATTGGCTGCAAACCCTGAAATTAGAGTATTAAAAGTAACAACATCTCTTGTCCCCATATTTTGGAATATTCTATGGGCATGAGCCATGTTTCCACATTTAGAGTACATGAATATCAAAGAATTGAATGCTGAGATGCCCAACTTAATGTTCTTCTCTTGAACAATGTTTACAACCAAGTAACTCAATTTCGAAGCCCCAATATGTCCACAGGCTGATAAAACACTAGCTATGGTAACCTCATCCGGTTGTATGTCCGTACAAGTAATCATTTCTTTAAAGAGCTCAATTGACATGGCCGACTCTCCATTTTGTGCATAACCAGCTATCATTGAATTCCACGAGACAACATCTCTTTTTGGCATATTATCAAATAGTTCCCGAGCTAATAACAGTTTACCAGACCTTGTATATGCTGATATCATGATATTCCATGTAACAGCATTCCTCTGCCCTCCCAATTCGTCAAAAATTTCTCTAGCAATTTCAAGGTTACCAAATTTAGCATGCATATCAAGTAAAGCTGTCTTGACAAAATTATTCAAAATGATATGCTTTTGGTTGATCTTTCTTATAATGTAATCAGCAAGGCTAGGATTACCGACGGAAGAGCACGATGAAATTGCAGCCACCCATGTTGTATCATCAGGAGCGATTCCTTCTTTCAGCATTTGTTGAAACAATTTCAAAGCCTCTTCTGCACATTCATTTTGAGCATAAGCTGATAGCATTGCATTCCACGAGACTACACTTCTCTCTGGCATCTGATCAAAATACCGTCTTGCACTCTCCAAGTCCTTCATCTTAGCATACCCAGTAACCATGGCAGTCCATGTAATAATATTCCTAGCAGGCATCATATTAAACAGCATAACTGCATCAGCCTCCTTTCCCGACTTCCAATAGCCAGAAATCATTGAATTCCAGTCCGCTAAAGTTCTATCAGCCATTTGCTCAAACAGCTTCCTGGCAAGATCGACTTGGCCATATTTTGCATACATATCCAAGATAGCATTACGGACAAAATGGTCGTCAATGTGACCCAACTTCAGGACATAAGCATGGAACAAATTTCCAGATTTCCCAGCCAACTTGATCAAGTATATATAAACAAAGGGATGGGGCCTAAGGTCTAAACACTGCATGCATCTGAAAATGGAAACCACCTCATTGTGGGCACCCATGCGGGAGTAATATTTGAGCATACAACTGTATACAGAAACACTAGGGGACGTCGAGGAGGTAAATATAGAAGCCGCATAGGCAGGATGAGCTTGAAGATGAGTACAGAGAGTGATGAGTAGAGAAACCCAGTAATTGTGAGAATGGAGGGAGTTGAGAACAAGATGCGCATGAAGTTGTCTTAACTGACTTATATAGCTTATTTTGGTAACTATGGCGCCCAATTTGGACATGGGAAAAATCAGAATGTGGCACTTGGAATACTAATCGTTTCACTACTCTAAACAATTACAGCAATTCCGTGCCATCAAAGCAAGAGAATTGCAACTGGCTCAACTCTTTAAGCATCCGGCAGTTTACAAAATTTAAGCTCAACTTCAAAAAGATCCTCTGATCTGATTCCGAAATATAGTTACCGGAACTAAAAATGCAAGCAGTCCAAGGTAAAGATCAAGAAATCATTTCAAAAAAAAAAAACCAAAGAGAACGGAATTAAGAGGCAGTATTGCGAACAGGAGACTCTGATATATAGTTCGATACGAATCGGAACTAAAAAAATTGAACAGTCCGAGATAAAATGTCAAGAAATCATTCAAAAGGATCACGGAATTTCAACAGAACGAATCACTCTAGACCTGAAGAGGCAGTATTGCGAACAGGAGACTCAGATATATAGTTCCAAACGAATCGGAACTAAAAATTTGAACAGTCCAAGATACAATATCGAGAAATCATTTCAAACAAAGAAAAGATAGCAGAAAAATTCAATAGAAAGAATTGATGTGGAGCTGAAGAGGCAGTATTGGGAACAGGAGATCTAGAGAAGTTGAAGAAAACACATGAAAGACGAAACGATAGGAGAAGAGAGAACCGAATCCTTACAAGGGCGTTGCTGAGAAGTAGACGGCATGAGGACCGAAAGTTAGAATCGCGCAGTTGAAGAAATGAAACACCGTCATCGTCGCTCCGCCGCAGTTGCTCTCCAAGTTCAGCGTGATCCGGCGGTAACCTCCCCCTTATATTGGCTGAGCAGTCTGGCACTTGGCCGAAAATGTATATAACACACACAAATATTTACGGAAAAGGATTGTTATTAAAACTAATTCTAGTTACTTTTACAATATATATATTTATTTATTATTATTATTTTTTAGTACTAGGGGTGGAGATCCACATTTTTTTATAGAAAAAACAATTATTTGTATAAATAAAAATGTAGAAATTGAATAATAAAATTATTTGTATAAATTTATATAAATTTTATTAATAAATTAATAAAAATTCAAATACTTATCACATTTGCAAAATTATCGTGATATTTTCGAAAATATAAATATATAAATATATATATGTATATATATAGCCTCTAATTACAAATACCCTTCAATATTTTGTCATTTCATCATTAACAACTGTTTTGGGCTGCCTTCTAATTTCCGGCCGATTCGTCCAAAACTCGGGCGGTTTTGGACCGTCCAAAATCTGATAGATGGTTGACAGAAAATCCATACTGTAAGAACATGGACTCTGGGCCTTGTGGGTCAAGAGAAAATAAAAACTCCTGGGCTTGGGCTCCACCAAGGCCCAATTATATGCACTTTGCGTATTTTCCACAAAAACCATTCAATTCGAAAATATAGATACAATTGTTGATCGAATGTATGACAAAAATAAAAAATAATAGCAAATTTTACAGCTCATTTAAAAAAACCGATTTTATAATTTCCTTATGTGTTAAGAACCATGTTTTACATTGACGAGTAGCAAAAATGAGCTAGGTCGTGAGATAGTGTGTGCAGATAAAAGATTTTTTGTATAGGGATTATTTTATAGTGAAATTATTTTATAGGGCTGAGATGTGTTGGGGTTGCAAGAAGTGAAAAAAAAATTCATTCTGATTAGAGAAGAAAGTGACTCATAATATATCGATAAGAACAATTATCTCTATTAATACGAGGTATTTTAGGTAAAATCAAGAGCATAAAGAGTGAAGATTATCCCAAATCCAATAATATCTTACCATTGTATAGATACTTTATTGTTGTTAACTAGAGTGTATTTAAAGCAAAGGTTAGTAAGAAAAAGTACTTATACAGGAATATGATAAGCAAGAGTTAATCATATTAAGATAAAAACTTGTGTAGATAAAATTATTAGCCAGATGAGGAAGTTAGTGAGAAAAACATATTTTAGAAATTATATTAGTGGAGGCAAATTAAATTTAATATTAGAACAAAAAATATTAAATACACCATAATTTATGTTCCATTTCAACAAATGGTGACATTTTGTATTTAAACTTAGTTTAAATATTATTTTTGTTTGGTTCATGCATTTTTAAAGCGTTTATTTTAGTCAATGTACTTACAATTTTTGTCTATTTTGGTCTCCGTATTTTTGATATATTTATTTTTGTTCCTATACTTTTAAAAAGTAATAATTTTAATATGGATTTACAAAATTTTATCCGGAACGAAAACCCTTTAATACACCTTTATAGTTACGCTTCAATAAATTTAGCGAGGATAAAGTTTTATGTTAAAATTGTGATTGAAATAATGAGATAAAAATGCAAATGGAAAAAAAATCAAGATTATCATGTTAAAAATTTCAATGACCAAAACAAACATTTAGAAAGTATATAGATTAAAATGGACGAAACTTAAAAGTATATTAGACCAAAATGTACATTTTGAAAGTTGAACAACTAAAATAAATTAAATCAAAAATATCAAAATTAAAATAGTATTTAAAGAAATTAAATCAAAAATATCAAAATTAAAATAGTATTTAAAGAAAAAAGAATGATTGGGTACTAAGTGGTGATGTTCCTTGGAGTTGAAAATGGGCAATGAGATAGAGTTATATAGGGTCCTCGAGATTGTCTTTCTTGATACCATACTATATATTAAAAAAATATAAAAAGAAGAAAATTGGTCTTCACATTATTAGAAACAGCCAAAAGGAGAAAGAGATTGGTGAATACAACAAGGCTTTGGACCAAATTAAAAAATGGTCGCTCTGTGGTGTGGTCCACCCCACCACCGCAGGTGACCCTATCAAATTGAGCAAAATATATACTGTCACCACACCACAACATAAATTCATTATTCTAACTTTAACCTACTACAACATTACAATATGATTACCCACTTTATTATATATATCCTTACATAGATAAATTAAAGTTTTGGATCTTATTATGTATCCCATGGTTAGCAGAGGACAACTATGCTCAATAACCTTTTTTTTCTCAATTTTTATGTCACACTCACAAATTATCAACATCAACCTAACTCAATTAGTTAAGATATCAGTGATCAGGTTGAATTATGTTGCGTGTGTTTGGGAGTGATAATAAAAATATATTTTAATACAATTGATTTTTCAAAATCGTCATCTAATTGATATATCTTACAAATCAATTTTGAGTGATTTTAAATTTTTCCAAATCAATTTTTTAACTTGTCAGATATCATTGATTGAAAGAGAAGTGATTTTGACAATATCTAAAATCACTCCCAAACACACATTAATTGACTAAGATTGTAATTACCTCTCTAAGGATTAGGTATTCAAATCCCTCCGATCGAACATAAGTTTTGAGACTTTATTGAACATTTTTTAAAATAATCACCTCTCTTCAGGCATCTACTTTTTCTCTTTCCAATAAACGTAGAACTTTGTCTACGGTTTCAATGTGAATTTAAATTTATGCAAAGATTTCACCAATAATTTGACCATAATTGAGGTCTAAAAGCAAGTCAATATAACTTAAAATTTGAAAAATTATTGAACCAGGGCGTCATAGGTAAAGCTTTTGACATGCGATGCAAAAACTTTTCCTCTAAAATGGGGCATTAGACGAGAGGGAAAGTAGGGAAATATTTGGTTCAAGTGGAGGGGATTGGAAAGTGGGACAGACAGAGACTGAAAACGAAACCAAAATATGACAGAATTTGAGTAGTACTAGCTACGAGTGGCGGTTCTGAAATTGGGCAGCCACGCCACATGACGACCCATCTCAGGGGTCCCCTTCTTAAAAATCTGTACGGATATAATTTCCATTCTTTTTGTCTACCCCCACTTCTTCAACTCTGTAACTATTAATATGTTAACATATAATACCGATGCGTGGAATAACATCAACACGAACAACGTTTTGTTTGTTTTTTCCTCTTTATATAAATATTCTCCCGTAATATCATGATCGTGTAATAATGTCGCAGTTGCACACAAGCCTAAACGGCGTGGGTTTCGCCGATTCTTTTCTTTTTTGTCTGATACTCAAAACGCCTTGGGGAATGGTGGGTGAATGGTGCCCAATTTTCAAAGCAAAAAGACCACCTCTCTTTTTTCAGGGCTCTTTCGACTGAAACCCAAAAGTTCTAATACGATTTAGGAATTATAGAGATCAAAATTGACATGGAATAGGAGGCACCGGACAAGATTGCAAGATGGAACATGTTGACCAGAGGGAGAGAGAGGGGGAGAAAAAGCTATATTTAAAAAATTTGATTTGAGAGTTCCGAAAGAATCTAGAGCGCATCAGGCGCTGACCATGCATGGTAATTAAAAGGCCAAGTAGTGTTCGAAATGTGTACTTATAAATTATAATTATATGAATTAAGAAATGATGATTTCGTTTTTTCAACTCAATCCCCATTTCCCATCCATAAACAAATGGGCGGGAAAACTGAAAAGGCGTTTATGGAGTGTCGAGCCCCCAAACACCAAAAGAAAAAACTCCAATAGACAAGGTCACGTCGTAAGGTCACGTGACGCCAACCCCTTGTTGGCGCCGATGAATATGGCGGGGTGGCGTTGGATGGGGCTCGACACGTGCCTTCGCCGTGGAATTCGACAACCCGGAGGGAATATTGGGCCGTTCTGCCTCTGCCTGCCCGACGCTGCTCTCCACTACACCTCCCTCTTTCTTCAATATGACGCCGTTTCCTGGTATATCATGCCTGTATTCTTTTTTTCCTTTTTATTTTGGGGGGAAACTTTTATTCTTAAGCTTTCTTAATATTTGCCCATACTTTTTATTTCAGTCTTACAAATTTAAAGTAAATATCATTTCCTTCCTCGTTACTGTACTATTTTACCATTTAATGTTTCTCACAAAAAAAAAAAAAAACTATCTAGTGGTCGCTTAATATGGTTGTAATCGTTCTTTCACTAATAACTAAATCACTTTCATTTTAAAAGAGACATGTTTGACCATGATTTTCAAGTTATTTAAAAAGTGTTAAAATTACTATTAATTTTTAAAGGGGTTATTGTTATAAATTTTAAATTTCTATTTCTATTTCACTATAAATTTTAAGATTTTCTTTTTTACTTTTTAAAAATTGTGCATGTCTTAGGCTCTATTTATCTTTGGTTATTTTCTCTCTAAAATTTTATAATTTTAAAAAAAATTAGTCCTCAATTATTTCTAAGTTATTTCTATCTCCAAACAGTTAATTTTTTAAAACTTAATGGTTAAAATAGATACTTAAAAAATTTAGGATCAAATATACATTTTAAAATAGTGGTAGATTTATAGTATATATTATTATATTGACTTAATCTCATGAGATGGGTTTATGATTTTTCTCGTGAATATATTTATTTGGCGAGTGGGTTTGCACGTGTACAGCTCGAAGTCTAAAGAGTATTTGGATAGTTCCAGTTCCACACGATTATTCTCCTGGAAATTCTGCAAATCCTGTACTGCATGCTTGTGATTTGTGTTAATTCAGACACGCTCATTATTATATACATATTATTATGTATTAATAATTACAATTTGAAGTAGACTATTCAATATCTCTATTTTTGGACGGTTCAATAAATATTAATATTGCTGTCTTTTTTTTCTCTTTCTTTTCATAATTAGTATGTGATCTAAGATACAAAATTGTTATTAATTAAGATGATCCACCCAAGAGAAAATATTGTTGATTTCAGTTGAACAAGTTGAAATCGGGTATTTCATCGACACAAAAATTTTAGGCTTAGTTTCGATCAACTTGATCATTAGTATCTATATTTTTTGAAAAAATTTACATCTATGATTTCGTTACCTTACAAATCGTCCTTAACTCCTTCTTGATCTCCAAAATCCATTCCTTTGTTTCTGGACTCTAAAACGAATATCCAAATAGAATGCACATATCCTAATTTAATTGGAATGTAAATTAAAAACATGTCGTGTATTCAATATGATAAAGACGTTTATTATTGAAATTATGATTTATCTATATGTTTAATGAAACCATAATAACCAAATTGAAAATTTTCAAAATTATAGAGACTCGATGGAAGGCTTTAAAATATATATGAATCAATTAAAACTAAAACTAAAAGCATGGGAGCCCAAATTGGTAATTTAACCCTGAAAATTATTATACATTAAGAATTACCATTTATAAACTGTCTTATAATGTCGAGAAGTAAAATAAGGACTTTATCTCGAACCAATAATAGTTCTTGAAAAACAAACTAAATATAAGTATCATAGAAAAGACCTTAAACCCCAAGCATGTTTTCTAGAGTTTTTTGTTTAAGCAAATACATGAAAACGAAAGGAGGAAATAAAAAAAAACAAACAAACAAACAAGAAAAACTAGAAGAAGACTGAAGAGAGTGATAGGAACTGAGCAGTAGAGAGTGACAAACATGGAAGAGGCAGTGAATATGTAAAGAATAATACTCCTATTAGTACAATTTTCTGCCATCCACAGCTAATTTTTTATGATTACTATTTTTTTTAAAGAATAAAAATGTCTCTCTCAACGTTCATTTTTTCTACCAGTCAAAAATTCATGCCAGATGAATTTTATTATTTTGTTGTTCGATAATCTAAAAGGTTGGCATCTTCAAATACCTGGAATATTAGATATCTGAAATTATAGATGTCTCACGTATATTTAAATAGTCATGTCTGTTTTGCAATAATATTTACAATAACGTTTGAGAATACTTAGTAGCTATACGTTTGTTTTTGCAGGATTTGTACATGAGAATGTATTAAAAATTACGTATTGATTCGATATCTAAAATTATAGATGTTTTTGTGTTAGCATATATATATATAATTTGAACTCAGGTAAAAAGTTTGTTTTTATAAGTTTAATATTATATCTTTAAGGTTAAAATAAATAAGTTTCAATTGAAAAAAATTAAGATATTATATGGTTGACTAAAGTTTATTTTATATCTAAATGTATTATATAAATAATTGCATTTAACCATTTATTACTGTATTAGTGCATACGCATTTATTTTTAAAATAAAATAAAAAATTGATGAGATAATATAGAGTAAAAATGACAATGACGATAACAATAAAACTATCAAAAGAAGATTGTCTAATTAACATCAAAATCTTAAAAATTCATGTTGGATGTCCTAGCTTGTACGAGCGTCTAAAAATATCCGATATCCAAAGTTTCAACCAAACAAAGATAGGAATCTAGATGTCCATCTCATGAAACAAACCGTCCATAAGTATTGTTATATTAGTGATACTCGTTGACTTTAGTATAGTATATATCTTGGTGACTTATTACCATTAAATTTTAGATTTCTTATCTTTTCAACATAGCATCAGTAATTCTCTTCCTATATTATTTTTCTCTTTATCGGTCAAAAACCAACCCGTCGATAGGATAGTATGAGTAATCTTCCAAGCTCATTAGGTTAAAAAATGGTGGAATATTCTTGAAGCCTAAAATAAGAGGGGGGAAAAAGGGAAAATTGATAAGGGTCGCCATCCATCAACGTAGAGTGAGACCCAATTCTGGTCTCCGATATTCCATGGAACAGTCCCCTTTTTTGTTTTCTCGATTTCCAACCATTCCCTTCACAAACCGCCATTATATCCTCTCTCTCTCTCTCTCTCTCTCTCTCTCTCTCTCTCTCCTTCCTTCTCCCTTCCTTAATCTCTTCTGCTTCTGGATAACAAAAAATTCTGATCTCTCTGCACCTCCATCTCCACCTGCATTTAATACTCAACTCAACTACCTCTTTTCCAAATCATAACCCACTCATCATGCATTCACTCATTACCCTTTTCTTTCTAATTTCTACCCAAAATTAGTCTCTCTCTCTATTTCTCTACATCTTTGAGATTCTTTTATTCTCCTCATCTGATCATGTTTCTGAGCTCTAACGGCCCCGTTATGAAAACGCCGTCTTCCTTGCCGGACCTCTCCTTGAACATCAGTCTTCCGGACTCCGCCTGCAGCGGCACCGATTTCACCCATGAAAATAGTGCCCTTTTCCGCTTAGGCTTTGAAGCGGGGGATCGTACGAGTACCCGTCTTCGTCGGAACCTCCATAGCCGCCGGGAGTTCAAGAGAAGCAGCGGCGGCGGCGGCGGCGGAATGGGCGGCTGTGGGGGTGTGAGAAGAAGCATCCGAGCCCCGAGAATGAGATGGACTACTACTCTCCACGCTCATTTTGTACACGCCGTTGAGCTCCTCGGCGGCCATGAAAGTAAAACTAAACACACACAAAACCCCAATAACCCTAAATATTTATTTATTATATTTATTGTAACTTCTAAAGAGTTTTCTTGAGGGAAAAAAAAAATAATGAAACCCATTAGTAATTAATCAATGCTCGTTTTCTCATTCCTCTCAGGGGCAACGCCAAAATCAGTATTGGAGCTCATGAATGTCAAGGATCTTACCCTAGCTCACGTCAAAAGCCATTTGCAGGTTGGTGTGTTGTTTGATTTTCTTCCATTATTGCTATTTCCCCCCCTTTTTTCTGGTCTGGTCATATTAATAAATGATTAGACATATGCTATTGCTTGTTTTCGAGTTTATTGATAATTCGATATGTTAAAAGTTTGAATTTGAATTTTCTTTAATCCATGAACTAAATTTTTTAGTTTACAATATCAAAGTGAGAGATATTGTAATATCATTTTTGTTTCTAAGCATTATTACTTCCATTTATTAGACATTGTGCTAATTTCTAACCCATGGATGATTTAACACCCTAAAATGATAATAGTGTTGGGTCAATTGTTGGACATTGTGGTAATTTCAAAGCTCACCAAAGAAAGAGGATTAAAAGCAATTGCAATTAATTGATTTATGTTATTTTTGGGTCTAGTGGTAATTTAGCACGTGAGAGATAAAAGAAGAATGATGCCTTACATTAACATTATTCACTTTCCATTTGGTTGCCGAAGAGCTTCTTTTTGTCACTTAATATTTATCCTATCCGCTGAAATTTTTACATTTTCCAAGATTCATTCGTATCGTGCGGGTAAAAGAGAGTACAAAAGTTAAAGGACAAAAAAGGCATCTAAATCAGCTGCAACTGCAAGGCTGTTAAAAAAATTATTAAAAAAAAAAAAACTTTTTGACATATTTTGTTTTTGGTTTTGTTCATGCAGATGTATCGAACAGTGAAGAATACTGTGAAGGGAACAGGTAATAAATAAAAACACTGTGCTCTTTTTTAATGTTACGAAAAAAGGACAAACACCCTTTATGTCTATTTTGTAATATGGACATTCGATTCTTTATATGTACTGTTGAGCCATTTTAATACAAACACTGTGTATTTGGCAGTCTGAATTGCAAGTTTTTTCCTTATAGTTTCCAAAGAGACATTTGAATTATTGAGCTGAAGCTTGCTATTCTTCTTTATGGACTGTAAATTAATGATGTTGCAGTTGCAGATGATGATTGTGGAAGGCCAGAGCTGGACCCAGATACCCTTTTATCTTCTGCTTCATCTGCTCAAAATTCTAGCCCTCAATCTCCTAATTTGCACACAATGCAAAGGTGAGATCTGGCCTTTCAAAATAGTTTTTTGGGTCATTACTCAATTTTTATGTTTGATCTAATTCTGTGCATCACGAAGATTTGTTTTATGATTTGGTTTTTAGTTTTCAGTTTTTAAAAATTATGTTTGGTTTTTTTTTTATATATAATTTCATTAGTTAGTTTTTATCCAATCTCTCGAGCTTTGATAGCCTATCAAGATTTATGATATTTAATGAGTAATTCAATGATGATTACGACCTAATATTTTCTTTTTAATACAATATGTGGTATGAGAATTCAAACTCACGATATTTTAATCGAAGATAAGTATCTTAATCACGTGAGCTATACTCAGATTTGTTAGGCCGAACGTTCTATATATTTTGTTTATGATTTTTCTCTATTAGTTAATAAAGTTTCAAATTTTAATGTATTTTTTCCCTCATTTGCGTGCAGAAGTAGCTTGGTAACATCGATGCCCGAGATCAGTAGCGAGAGGAATATGTCAAACGACACTTTTGCTAAATCTAGAGGATTTAAGGTAATAAATGATACATAGGTTGTTTTTTTTTTTTCCCTCCATTGACATTGAAATTAATGATGTTTTTTCAAATAAATATATTTTAGGTGGAAGGAAAGGGAGATTATCGCGAAGCTCTCAGCATGCAGAGAATTAATTTAGAGTTCACTTTGGGAAGACCAAGTTGGCAATTAGATTATGCTGATGCAAATGAGCTTACCCTTCTCAATTGCTAGCTTCTTAAATTCCCCACAAGAAAGAAAAAACAAAAAAAGAAAAATCCACAAATTTAGTCTTTTTCATTGTCGAATTGAAAAGAAAATCAACACAAATGAATATTTCAATGTTTGGCGATGGATTTTGTGTTTCAATTAAATCAATACACAAAATAAACAGTACACGAAAAATCATAACACTTTTGATAAATTATGTATTCTTCAATTCACTTTCAAAAGTACAATGAACATAAGCTGAAACCATATGCGGAATGGATGAAGAAAAATAAAATAAAAATGGAAATAATAATATATTCATTTTTATTGCTGATTCTGGGCCTGGGCCATGGGCTTGGCCCAAAAGAAAGCCTTCCGGGAGATGCGCAAGAATTGGATTGGACATCAATCTCTGAAACAGGGGAACGAGATTGGAGAGACGGAGGGAGGGAGGGAACGGCGGCGATGGGATGGGAGGATGATGATATTACATAAATGCCATGGACGGAGTTTCGTCGTCGATCTCCGTCGGTAACTGCGATGTGCCACAAATCTCGAAAGTAGAGTACAGTTACAGGTATTCGTTCATCTGCGAGGCTTTTCCCTTTCTTTTCTATTTGTTGGAAGAAGAGCAACTCATAATTTTGATTTTGACCTAACTGAGGCATTTGGTTAATGGTTTTATGTTGCAATCAGACGTCATATTTGAGTTTAATTATTTGGCGAGTATATCGAAGCTGCAGTTTATGATTAAAAGCTTAGAAAGAAGATAAGATTAATGAGGCATTCGATGAAATCCTTGTTTAGGGAAACAATTCTCCGGGGTACTAATGCGCTGTCTACCTCTTGGGGTTAATGAGTGCTGTGCAACAACCCATTTTGACCTTATCTTTTGCTCCTCATCCTACCCATTTCAGTCCAACTTGTTAGGAAACTGAAGCATAAATTGAATTAGTTAACTGCAACAAACGAAAATAACTTTTCAAAACAATTATTTAGATGTGTGTTCTAATGAGTTACTATAACGATGTATATATCTTTCTAATGTTTATGAAAAATGAGACTGTTAAGTTCTTGATCTCTCTCTTTTTCAAAAGCCCACATATTTGTCCATCCTTTCTTTTAATGGTCTCTTTGACCATGTTTTTGGTAAACTAAAATATAAAGTAGAGAAAGGTATAGCTATTTGGTTAATACCTAATGAAGAATCAAATTCAAAACACTCAGTGCTGAGGTGTGGACATTGGACCTCTCTCGTTGCTTCACACCAAATAGTTACAGAGGATATAAATGCTGCTTTCTGCTCATTTCTCATTTTAAAAATGGATACTTTTGTCCATTCAATTCTCTGTACCGTAGTAGTTGACTGCTGATCCTTTTACTTCCTATCTGTCATTTCTTTGGAATGACAGGGAGAACAAAACTAGGGGCTATTCTGAACATATTCGAGCTAAAAAATGGATCCGACTGAAGAAGCCGATGTTGGTCAGTTAGTTTACGGGGTGAATCAGTCGACATTGGATTTTCACTGACAGTCATTCGTCGATCCACTGGCTCATCCAATATCAAAGGGACCGATCAACCATAGGAAAAAAAATTTCAAAAGATCAGCATTCAGAGAGAGAGAGAGAGCTATAAGTTAAATAAGAGAATAAATAATAACTTAAAGAGTAGAGTGGATGAAAGAAGAGAGATGGAGAGGGAAAAAGGAGAGGATATTGTTGAAAGGGAAAAAAAAAGAGTGACTAATAGACAGCCGTGTGAGTGAAGATGTTTGAAAGAAAATAAAGATCGTTTAATTGTATATATTTGAATATTGAAAATACTGGGCTTGTTTAAGAGTGATTAATTTATTTGGAATATTGTCAAACATTTAACCGATAATAAATAAAGGAGAAGGTAAATTATATATAATTTTTATTTTATTGGAAAAACGACACACCAGATAATTATTTCTTTTTACACCTTCCTCTTCTCCACTTATCGTGGCTTTTTATTATCCATTTTTCCATCTTGTCCCATCTTTTCAATTTCTACCTCTTACTAGTTTCCCCCCACTTTCTTTTTCTCTTTTTCGTTCTTCCCCTTTCTTCCCTCATCTCCAAATATTCTTCTCAGATCTATAAATCTGAGTTCATATTGTTTAAATTATGATGGCAGAGCATAATTGTTGGGGAGCCGATAGTATACCTTTAATTATTACATGGGCGATCTCGTTATTATTGCTGAACAATCGAAAGTCAGCTAGAAGGGTTCAAGAGTAGCTAGACATCCACGTTGGGAATGAAAGACTGATGGATGAATCAGATCTAAGCAAGTTAGTCTATCTCCAAGGCAGTAGTGAATGAGATATTAAGGTTGTACCCAGCCGGACCATTGTCGGGGACTGCACGATCGGAGGCTATGAAAACTTAGCTTCTTACCGCCCTGGAACCTAGCTATGTGGTGCTAATTATTATCGGAAAACTCAAAGCGCTTTATTTATTAAAAAAAAAAAATCTCTTTATTGGAAATAAGTGACACGTTACAAATGGGAAGCTTTTTTCAATCAAAGAGATAAACTACCTTCTTATTATCAAACAGCCTAGCAATCCCTCATCTCTTTATTGGAAAGATTCATTAATTAATCGTAGTAGCCCCAAGCCTGAAAGCCATCATATTGACTCGACTGATCTCAATGCAAAAAAGCTGGTACCCTTTCGTTCCACTTTGGGGAATGATGATTTGAAATTGCAGAATGAAATGAATGCAAATTCATTTATAATTTGTAGTAATTGGTTTTAATTTAATTTCCGTGCGAAGTGGTACTTAAGCGAGCCATGCCAGAGATATTAATGCATTGAAATGATTAGATTGGATTTTGGGTGATCA